GGCCATGCTGTGGCGGTGACCCACATACACAATAGAGGAGGATTGGCACAGATGTTAGCTCAGGGCTAGTCTTCCTCGGCAACAAAACAAAACAAAACACGAATTGTATACTTGAAAGTTGCTAAGAGAGTAGATCTCAAGTGTTTTCACCACGTATATAAAAGGTAACTATATGTGGTGTTGTGGAGGTGTTAATTAACTTGATTGTGGTAATCATTTCACAATGCATAAGTATATTAAATTGCCACACTGACACCTTGAAAAAATCACGTTGTACAACCAAAATATATAGAATTTTTATTGGTCAATCATACCTCAATAAAGTCGGGAAAAAAACTCAACGAAGACTGCACCTTCCTTGGGAATTCCTGCCACCTCCCTCACCCTCACCTCACACACACACACACTCAGCCTGGGCAGGGTGCCTTCTCTGAGCCCCTAGCGTGCCCTGAGCTTCGTCTATTATCATAGTACATGTCCCCTTAGGTTATGTCTGTGTGTCTTTCAACCAAAGCTGAGCCTACCTCTCCTCTGCTCACAGACTCTCTGCGGCTCACTAGTGCCCTTGGGACAAATTCCCAGCCGCTGCTGACACCTTGATTTTAGCTCAGCAAGACCCACTTCAGACTTCTGACCTCCAGAACTGCAAGAATACATTTCTGTTGTTTTACTTAAGCCACTAACTTTGTGGTAATTTGTTACAGCAGCAACAGGAAACTAATACGCCTCTCACCCACCAGAACCTCAGCTCCAGGAGGCCAGGTTCTGTCTTGTTCATGGCCATCTCCCCAGCACCTAGAACAGTGACCCACTCAGAGCAGGCACCCAATGGATAGTTGTTGACTGACTGGATGGCTGCTTTGATTAGGAGCCCCTGCCTCCTGGTCAGAGATGATTGGACTAGAAGTGGACACCTGACCTAGCCAGCCAATCAGATGTCCCCTCCTGGGGATGCGGCACTGAGCATCCTCTGTGGTCTGGGTCGGTGGTACACAGACCTGCCACAGTTGGCTTTGGCTGGTTAAAGCAACAGGACTAACAGGAAGGACACCAAGGCAGCCCACGGAATCTGGGAGGCAGTTGTCAAACCACAGGTAGGAACCAGAACTTTCCAGAGACTTTCCTCCAACTCTCCCATTCCTGTGTCTCTCCCGTCCAAATGTCCAGATCCCATGAGAGGTAATCTATTCTGCCCAGCCTTAGTCAAATACGGACAGGAGGTTGCCCATTCTCATTTGCCCCAGAACACAATCAACCGCTAATTAACAGCTAACACTCATTAAGCACGTTGTGTTACCCATCACAGAGTCAACCCAATGAGGCTGGAACTATGAACCCCATTTTACAAATGAGGAAACTCAGGCCCAGAGTCATTAAGAAGCTTTCCTAAAGTCACATCTTTCCTAGAAAGATCTGAATGAAGCAGATAGGCAGAAATACAAGACCCAAGAGATCAGGGGCCCATGGAGACAGGACCTGCCCAGGTTCCTGTCTACATTCCGGGTTCTCGGGACCTGGGGCGCCCAGATGCCTGTCCTACCCTGTCTTCTGTAAGGTATCTCTGTAGCATTCCAGAAAATTCCCTCTTATCCTAAGCTAGCCTGAGTGGGTTCCTGGCATCTGCTAAAACAGTGGTATGCTGAAGCGGCTCATTTTGGCTCATGGGACCCGATTACTAGAAGTTCAGGAATTCTGGGGGCCAGCCCTGTGGTCTACTGGTTAAGTTGGGCATGCTCTGCTTCAGCAGCCGGGGTTCAGTTCCCGGGTGCGGACCTATACCACTCGTCGGCGACCATGCTGTGGCTGCGACCCACATAAAAAATAGAGGCAGATTGGCACAGATGTTACTCAGGGAGAATCTTCCTCAGCAAAAAAAAAAAAAAAAATTTCAGGAATTCTGTCAGCTGGTTGTTCAATCATCTGGGGCTTGAAATCTGACATGGTGGGAGCATTTACACCACAGAAATTGGCAAAAGTTACTTACCAGGGCTTTTATTTTATTCCAGAGAGCTACTGCATTTTATTTCATACCAGCACACTATGGATTCTGCGGCAATGTGTAAGCAGACAAAGTCAAAGAGCAGCCTCCGCCAGATGGAGCAGATCGGAAGAGACGAGAGGCCCCAGGGCCCTGGCTGTGGATTCCAGGGTCCCCTTATCTGGTTCATAAACTCTGTGCTGTAGTGGAACCAGCCCTTGGGGCTGCCGAGTGTCAGAACTAAAATGGCCTCAAATAGACCAGAAGTTGCTGACTGCTCTCCCTCCCCTCAGAAGCACAGCCAAGGTTGGTCAGGGTGTATTAGAGAGCACGGAACCATGAGAAGAAAGTTTCAGGCATCTGGTGTTGGTTTGGGTCCATCTCTCCTCCGTCCAAGATGGAGTGGTGGTGCTCAGGCGTCAGTCCCCCATGGGCAGCCACAGGGCCTTGGTCCGTGCTGCCCGCAGCCCCAGCTCTGGGCCTGCCCCCTCAGCGTCCTGATCCCAGGCCCGTGGGAGGCCCCTGTTCACCCACACCGGCTTCAGGTTTCCTGCTGAGGCCCACTCCACAAACTGGGAGCCCTGGCATGGGGAGAGGGGGGATCAGCACATCCACTGGCTTGGTTGCTAAGCAGCTGCTCCCTTGGCAACAAGAACTGTTACTGAGGAGGGGACTCAGGGCTTGATCTAGGCTCTGTTGCTATACTGCTCAGCTCCTAGCAAGCAAAATTTCCAGATGCTGAGGGAAACAAGGTTGACCTTTGTGGCTAGGGAATTTCCTCTGTTAACAGCCCACATTGGAAGGAATGGGGCCCAGGGTTCTTGTTGACAAGGAGTTCCCATCTGTCACCATCAGGAGGTTTAAGAGGGTGGACTGTGGGCTTCTGACTCTGTTGCCAGGGTGTGGTCCTTAGCAATGGGATGTCCAATGAGATTAGGTCTTTGGGCTAGGCAGAATCTCAGTCCCCTGTTGCTAAGGAGATCTTCCTCCTTAGCAACCGGGGCTCTAAAGGGGCAGGACCTCAGAACCTGGTTGCCAAGGAGTTTCTCTCCCTTAGCAACAGTGGTTCTAAAGGGGTGTAGCCACGTTTAAGATGTTGAAGACAGCGAAACAAAGGGTACCTGGACAGATCCGAAATACCACAGGGCCTGGATGTCCTGGTGCAAGGCCAGGCAGCGGGTCAGGTGGTCACGGTCGCCTGTCACCACGTTCACCAGGCCCGCAGGCAACAAGGTGGCCATATCCTAGGGGATGGGAGAGTGGGTCATCCAGGGTTGGGAGGGAAGGAGTCAGAGACCCTGAGGGCAGTGGGGGCAGGGTGAGGGGTGAGCATCTGGGGAAGGAATGGGACTGGGGTCCTGACTGGTCAAGGCTTGCGGTCTGGAGAGAATGGTCATTGGGTCTACAAGGAGGGAGGCTTGGATGCTGGGTCTGGGGTTATCAAGGCAGGTGGGGTGACAGCCGAGCTCCGTGCAGGCCTGGGGGCACCCTTCATCCGTCTGCTGCCCCAGAGGCTGCTGGGAGCCGCAGCAGGAAGGCAGGCGACTGTACCTGGCAGACCTCCAAGGCAGGGATGGGACAGGCCCCGCTGGGCACCAAGACCACAGTGTTGCCGTGGGCCAGCGCAGGGGCCAGCAGGGACACGAAGGCGAGCAGGGGCCACTCGTCCGGGCACACGATAGCCAGCACGCCCAGCGGCTCCCGCAGCCGGAGCACGGGGCCTCTCAGCTCTGCGACCTGTAGGGATGGGCAGGAGGTCAAGGGAGGGGCAAAGGAGCCTGACTGCCCTCCCAGGGCCTTCTCCATCGCCCGCCCCTTCTCTTCCTTATCCCCATCTTTGTTTTCCGTAACAACTCCAATAATAACATAACAGGTGATGGTTCAGAGCACACACTGCAGCCAGATCCTGCCTTCAAGTCCCAGCTCTGCCACTCACCAGCTGTGTGACCTTGGGTGAGTCACTTAACCTCTCTGGGCCTCAGTTTCCCATCTTTAAAATGAGGCTAGGGGCTGGCCGGTGGTGCAAGCAGTTAAGTGCACACGCTCTGCTTTGGTGGCCTGGGATTCACGGGTTCGGATCCTGGGTGCGCACCGACACACCACTTGTCACACCATGGTGTGGCGGCATCCCATATAAAGTAGAGGAAGATGGGCACGGATGTTAGCCCAGGGCCAATCTTCCTCGGCAAAAAAGAGGCGGCTCAGCATCGGATGTTAGCTCAGGGCTGATCTTCCTCACAAAAAAAAAAAAATGGGGCTAATAATAGTGCCTACCTCAGAGATTTGTTGGATGAAATGAGTTAACGTGTGTAGAGGGCTCAGAACCTGGCCTGAGTCTAGGTTTGTTAGTGTGTATTTTGTTTTTGTTGAGAAAGATTAGCCCTGAGCTAACATCTGTGCCAATCTTCTTCTACTTTATATGTGAGTCGCCACCACAGAATGGCTGACGCGTGGTGCACGTCCGTGCCCGGGATCAGAACCTGTGGACCCAGGCCACTGAAGTGGAATGCACCGAACTTAATCACTACACCATGGTGCCAGCCCCATTTTTTTTTTTTTAAAGCTTTATAGAACACAACTGACATTCACTAAACTGCACACACTTTAAAGGGTGCAATTTGATAAATTCTGATACATGTAGACACCCATGAAACCAATCACCACTATCAAGATAATGAACTTCACCCCCCAAATTTCCTTGTGCCCCTTTGCACCTTCCCTCCTGCCCCTATTTGAAACCTCTCTGTCCTCAGACAACCACTGATCTGCTTTCTCTCTATAGATTAGTTTGTATTTTCTAGAATTTTCCAGAATTTTCTAGATATGGAATCATAGTCTTTTATCTGGCTTCTTTCACCCAGCTGAGTCATTTTGAGATTTGTCCACATTGTAGCATAGTCACTCCTTCCAACTGCCGAGTAGGATTCCATTGTAAGGATGAACCACATCTTGTTTCTCTATTAATCTGTTGAGGGACATTTGAATTGCTTCTGGTTTTTGGCTACTATGAATAAGGCTGCTATAAACAATTGTGTGTAGGTCTTTTTACAGATATATGCTTTCAGTTCTCTTGGGTTAAAATCTAGAAATTAAATCTACTTATTTATTTATTTATTTATTTTTGTGAGGAAGATCAGCCCTGAGCTAACATCCATGCTAATCCTCCTCTTTTTGCTGAGGAAGACGGGCTCTGAGCTAACATCTATTGCCAATCCTCCTCTTTTTTTTTTCCCCAAAGCCCCAGTAGATAGTTGTACGTCATAGTTGCACGTCCTTCTAGTTGCTGTATGGGATGCGGCCTCAGCATGGCTGGAGAAGCGGTGCGTCGGTGCACACCCAGGATCCGAACCCGGGCCGCCAGCAGCGGAGCGTGCGCACTTAACCGCTAAGCCACGGGGCCGGCCCAAAATTAAATCTACTTAAATAAATAACTAGGAATCATGGCGGGTTATATGGTACGAGTACCCTTAACTTTTTTAGAAACTGCCCAAGGGTTTTCCAAAGTGGTTGTCCCTTTTACACTCCCACCAGCAGGGGGCGAGAGTTGCAGTCCCTCCACATTCTCACCAACACTTGGTGTGGTTGTCTTTTGAATTTCAGCCATTCTAATAGGTACATAGTGATATCTCATCGTGGTTTTGAGTTGCATTTCACCAGTGATCAATGATGTTGAGCGTCTTTTCTGGTGCTTAGTGGCCATCCATAAGCAAACATTTTTTGAGCCCTTGGCTATATGTCAGGCCTTAGGTGTTCAGCTCATTTAGTCTTCATTAACAACTCCTCAAGGTCAATACCATCTTGTAATTGTATGATTGCATCTCATTTATGGAGGTGACCCAGGTCAAATGACTTCTTATCTTTCTGTTATCTTTCTGTTATCTCTATCCCTGAGCACTCCTGTGCCATCGCCTGAGTTGCTGAATCCTCAGTTTCTTCACTGGACCCGCCGTATGGTTCACACAAACCCAGTATCCATATTTAGTTGCATATTATGTATATAAATCAAACAAAAGTCACACCAAAAAATACTCTGTGCAATGTACTCTCTATTTTCTACCCTAGTCTCTTTTATCAAAAAAAAGAGAAAATCATGGTTACGACACACTAAATTTATTTATTTTTTGGTGAGGAAGATTGGCTCTGAGCTAACATCCGTTGCCAATCTTCCTCTTTTTTGTATGTGGGACGCCACCACAGTATGGCTTGACAAGTGGTGTGTAGGTCTGCACCCGGGATCTGAACTTGCGAACCCTGGGCTGCCGAAGCAGAGCGCGCCAGACTTAACCACTATGCCACCAGACCGGTCCCCAACCCACTAAATTGATTTTACAGCCCAGTAATGGGTCACTAACAACAATTTGAAACACTTCTCTATGAGGCAGGCCGTATGCCCATTACACAGATGAGAAAATTGAGGTGCAGAGAGGTGAGGCTACTTGCCGATGATCATGCAGCTGGGAGGCAGTGGGGCTGGGCCCGGACCCCATGTCTGACTCATTCCAGAGCCCCTGCTCTGACCTCCCTCCAGATTGCCCCCCCTTGTCCGCCCGCCTACAGACCCCTCTCACCTGCAGGGTGTGGCCTTGGGCCTGGGCGCGGGCCCCCCATGCCCGAAGCCGCCTCACGCTCAGCTCCACCTCCGCCTTGGCGACCTTGAGCTCCACTCCGTGCCTCTCCAGCCTCGAGGCCAGGGCAGACTCCCTGCGCTCCAGAGCGGCTGCCAGGGCCCACAGCAGGGCTGCCCGGGCCCCTGGCGACTGGCCCACCCAGCTGTGGGTCAACAGTGCACACGGTACACACCAGGTGGGCATCCTGGGCCTGGCTCATCCCAGGTGCCCCATCTCTGTCCACAGCCCCTGCCCTCAGGGTCCAGGGCCTGTGGCCCATCCTTCCGGGGAGGCGAGTGAGGGGCCAGACCCATATCCTATCAGCCCTGGGAGCTCAGACTCCACCGCCCACCTGCCCTCAGCGTCCAGATTCCATATCCCATCAGCCCTTGGGGGTCCCAGACTACCCCCTCTGATGCCCCACGACCCCTGGGCTTTCCCACCTGACGCCCCTTACCTGGGGGCAGCCTGGTGAGCGGCCTCCACGGCACCTCGGATATCCTTGGCTCCACCCTCAGCCACATAGCTATGGAGATTGCCCTGCAAATCCTGGATGGGCCTGGAGCTCCGGGCCCCCGGAGCCTGGAAACGGCCCCCCACGAAAAGCCCATAGGGGGGTGCTGGGCTGGAACAAAGTGAGGTGTTAGGGTGGGTCCTGGGGCCAGGTCTGCTCAGAGCCCACGCCTCATCCCATTCGATGAACCACCACAGCTCCCATGAACCTCTGGGGGACCCCAAATTCCTGGCCCCATGAGTCTCTGCGAGAGCACAGACTTTCATTTGGCAGAACTAAGACTCTCATCAGGCCTGGGGGTGGGGGGGTGAAGCCGTAAGACCCAGAATGCAATTCTCAGCAAGACCCTCAATGGCTCTCACGAATCACCCTCCAGCCTGTCACAACTTCCCCTCTCCCCTCCCGCCCCTCAGGGATGCTGGGAGTTGCAGCCCCTGGAAGAGCTCACCTGGGCCCTGTTTCAGGCCCAGCCGGAAGGGCGGAGGGGACAGCAAGGCCAAAAGTGTCATAGTTGAGATTCTCGGAAAGGTGGGGCAGCCTGGCGGGGGTCCCTGAGGGCTGCAGGTACTCATACAGACCCTGTGAGAGGGACACTGTCAAGCGGACGCAAGGCGGGCACGGGGTGGACAAAGGGGTGGGACGGGTGGGGAGGGGGGCACTCACATCTGGGCCCCCGTGCCAGGAAGACCCATTCTCTTTGCAGCCACCCATGGGCACGGCAGGGTCCCTGAGGCCGTGGGCATTGATCCAGACTGTCCCCATCCGGAGCCTGCAGGGAGGGAGGGGACAGCAGAGAGAAAACTGAGGCGGGCAGTGAGTCAGAGAGACTGGGGGGAGAGGGACTGGAGAGAGGGACAGAGACCCGGAGAGAGAGGGAGACACCAGGAACGAAGCTGGGGCCGTCCAGCTCTTTGTGCCCCCGTGGATGCCAACTGACCCGTAGCCCAGCTCCAGGGCCGGCCCCAGCCTCTCGCTCCACACACTGGCACTGCCTCCTCGGGGCGTCCCGTTGGCCATGGCCAGTGCCTCCTTGGCTGTGCGGAATGGGGAGGCCACCACCAGAGGCCACGGCACCTGGAAGGGGTGACGAGGGAGCGCAGGCAGCCTGGCAGGCCCCTCCCTCTGATATCCCACCCATTAGGGGACCAGCCTGCAGCGGTCGGCAGCCCCCAGACCCAGGCCAAATGGTCACGCCCCGGGCCTCTGTAGGTAGTGTGCTGCTGCCCACAGCCGGCTGAGGATGGGTGGATGGAGGAGGATCTCTGGGGGCCTAAGGGGCTCACCTCTGCCTGGGTGCATGGGGAGGCTGGGGGCAGGTCAGACACCAAGGTTGGGGGATAGAATGGGCTGTCTGAGGGTACATCGCCAGCCTGGAACACCTGGGGAGAAAGAGAAATAGATCTAGAAGTCCACTCCCAGGTCCCTCCTCCCCAAAGACCCGGGAGTCCATCCCCCAGCCCCTCCTCCCTCAGACCCCGGAGTCCGGGCCCCCAGCCCCTCCTCCCTCAGACCCAGGAGTCCAGGCCCCCAGCCCCTCCTCCCTCAGACCCTGGAGTCGGGTCTCCAGGCCCTCCTCCCCCAGCACCCCCGAGTCTGTGCCCCCAGCTCACCTGTGCGCCCTGGCTCTGGGCCTCGCGCACATAGCGCTGGGCCAGGTCACGTGCGGCAGCCCCTCGGGCCCCCATGTCCACGGCCCCGTCCAGCCCTCGGCCAGCACGCAGCCGCCCCATCCGCGCCTGGAGCCGTCTCATGGTCTCGTCCCACACAGACTCCTGGATGAGAAGCCTGAGGCCCCCCTGTTAGGAAAAGTGGTGTCGGGGGGGTGAACTCAGGGCCCACGTGATGGGGACAGGTCCCCACAGAGGGCCGAGACCCAGGGACACACATGCACAGATCAGGGGAGGGTCAGGGAGAAGGGGCCGAGGACCCGGGAGACTCTCCGAGGCCCCAAACTCCGGATAGGAAGTGGGTCACAGAAAGTTGGCGATTCAGAGTGAAGAGAGAGGTTGGAAAATGAAGGACATGGCCACTCAGAAAAACGAAGGAAGTCCTAAAGAATAAAAGACACAGAGCCCCCGACTCTGCAAGACCAGGAGAGCTGGGACCTGGAGATTCAGAAACTTGAGGTGCTGAGGACCCCCACACGTGTGACAGTGTAAAGATAGAGTTTTGGGAGGCAAAGAACTGAAAATGAAAATGAACAGAGACGTGGGGCCCTAAGGTCTGGAGACAGACACGCAGGGCCCCCAGGACACGAGGGGACACGAGCGCATGGGGCTCACCGGGCTGCGGTCGGACCAGGCTGCATCCACAACTCCCTCCACGGCTGAGTCCACGTCCGCTGCCTCCGTCACCAGCAGCAGTGACTCAGCCCCCAGGGCCAGGCTCAGCTCGAGACCCTTGCCCGCCAGGGTCCGCCGAAGGGCACGTCCTTCCTGTGGGACCCCTGCAAGGTTCAGCTGGGACAGGCGCCTTCTGGCCCCCCAGCCACATCCCGGCCCCCTCTCAGCCCTGAAAATACCTCGACGACTCCACAGAAGGCCACCTTCTGGACTCCCGGCTGGGAGGCCAGGACTGGCCCCAGGGAGGTAGGGCCACTGATCACGTTGAGGATTCCTGGGAATGAGCCCAGCTCCCCTGCCAGCTGGGCCAGGAGGAGGGGCGTTGGGGAGGCCGGGGGCACGAGGACCACCACAGTGCAGCCTGGGGAAGGCAGGCAGCTCAAGGACCCCAGAGTCCAGGTCCCTGGGCCCCACCTCCCTCAGACCCAGGAGTCTGGGCCCCCAGCCCCTCCTCCCTCAGACCCAAAAGTCTGGGCCCCTGGGCCCCTCCCCCCTCAGACCCAGGAGTCCTGGTCCCCGGGCCCCACCACCCTCAGACCCAGGAGTCCAGGCCCCCAGCCCATCAATTACCCACAGCCAGCGCAGGGCAAATCCTCCACATCATCTCAAGGAAGGAGAATGTGGGTGGCACGATGAGACCAATTACTCCTGCAAGAACAAATGAGGGGACTGGGGCAGGCACTGCTGGGTCATAAGGGAGGAGGGGGCTGGGGGCCAGGACTCCTGCTTCTCACCCATGGGCTCCCAGCCCGCCAGCACCTCTTCCTGGCTGTGTGCCTGGACTGCATGGTACTGGAGCAGCTGCTGGGCCAGTGGGACATCCCTGTCTCGAACCTCTCGAACAGCCCGACCAGTAACCAGAGACTCCAGGGTCCACAGCAGCCGCTGGTGCTTCTGGATCATCTTGGCCAGCCTGTGGGGAAGGCAAGGCAGATGGTCATTTCCCATTATCCCCCAGCCTTATAGAGTCCTGATACACACCCCACATACCTGGACTACAATTCCCATGAAATGCTGGGGGCATCCCCACCATTTACCAGGGGGTGGAAGGCACCAAAGATTCATGGGAAATGTAGTCCTGGAAACACCGAAAACCTGAGGGTGCTGTGTAAAGATGTCGGCTATTTGTAACCCCCAAAGGTGCTGGGAAATTGAGGCTTAAGCTCTAGTATCAATTGCACTCTGGGAAACAGAATCTTTGTCTCTAGCTGCCCCAAGAATGTACTGGAAAACGGCTCCACCAGCCCCAATGAGCTGCAGAGAAATGGAGCTCAGATGAGCCCCAAAGATATGCTGGGAAATAGAGGCTTTGTCATTACTAGCCCAGTGAATAGTGGTAAATGGATGTTTTAGCTGCTGAAGGCTCAAAGGCATGCTGGGAATATGAGCCTTAGCTGCCAATGAATTCAATGGGATACTGGGAAATACAGTTTTGTCCCCAAGTCCTTCCCCACCTCCCAGGGTCCACACCTCAACTGCATTACCTGGTCAGGTGCTGGGCCCGACGGGCTCCAGGGAGTCTGCTCCAGTTCTCCAACGCAGTCCTGGCTGCCTCTGCAGCTGCTGCAACATCCTCGGCCTGGGCCTGGAGGCAACTGGCCAACTTCTCTCCTGGGGAGATGAATGGGGGACCCAGGTTGGGGGGCATGTAAGAACTGGAGGGGGCTTAGATTTCCAGAGCCCAGGAGCACCCCAAGGCAGTAACACTGGTCCCCAGCCCACTCTGGGTCTCAGTTTTGTCGTCTGACAAATGGGGATAAATCTATTGGTCATGGCTCTGGCTGCCTCCCACAGGCAAGGAAGGGATTTTAGTAGATAGTGACTTCAAAAAGCATCCAAGGGACTTGGAACCATAATTGGGATGATTGTGATCAGGAGGAGCCAGAAATCTCAGCCTCTTCCCCCGACCAGCTGCTCCCTGCCCTCAGGGCCTAAGCAAAGAGAATGGGGTGTTGCTGGTGGGTACGGCTGGGGTATAGACACCTCTCCCTCCCATAATGACTGGGGACACCTCATACCTGTGATGGGGTCCTGGCAAGGCACTGAATTCCTGTGATCTGGCTTTAACCACTTCCCATTTACATAGTGACCCAAGTGCCGGTCCTGGGTGTCCAGCCAGGCCTGGGAGAGAGGGGGACAGTTTGGAAAGAGCTCTGGGAGGCAGCTGGGAGAGCTCAATCTCTACCCAGAGTCCTCTGGGAGGGGGACACCTGCCCCCCTTTGCCTCATCAGCTAAGTTTTTTTCCTGTGTAGGAGAAAAATACACATGCACATTAAATTCACCATTTTAAGCCTACACTTCAGCGGCATTTACTACGTTCACGATGTTGTGCAACAATCACCACTATCTAATTTCAGAACATTTCTATCACCCCAAGGGAAACTCTGTACCCTTTAAGCACTCACCCTCCCTCCCCACTGGCCCCAACCCCTGGCAACCACAAATCTGCTTTCTGTCTCTAGATTTGCTTATTCTGGACATTTCGAGTAAATGGAATCCCACAACATGTAACTTTCTGTGGCTGGCTTCTTGCACTCAGCACGGTATTTTCAAGGCTCACCCATGTTGTAGCATGTATCAATGTTTCATTTTTTACGGCTCTGTGATACTCCATTGTCTGGACAGGCCACGTTTTCTTTATCCATTCTTCAGCGGATGGGCATTGGGGTAGTTTCTGCCTTTTAGCTATTGTGAATAGTGCTACTAGGAACATTCCTGGAAGAGTTTTTGCTTGAACACCTGTCATGACTCCTTTTGGGTATATTCCTAGGAGTGGAATTGCAGGGTCACGTGGCAACTCTAGGGGTGACTTATTGAGGAACTGCCAAACCGTCTTCCACAGTAGCTGCACCACTTTACTTTCCCATCAGCAATATATGAAGGGCATCCTACTGACTTTTAAACAGAAAATGTGAACAAAGGATTAATAAAAGCTTGTCTCCTCTGTGGAGAAATGACCTTAGGATAACTTTCTATTTCCCTGGAAACCTGATACAATTCAGCTGTATTTTGTTTTCTTGTTTTCTGATAGGGAAGAGGAGCCCTGAGCTAACATCTGTTGCCAATCTTTCTGTTTTTGCTTGAGGAAGATTGGCCCTGAGATGACATCCATGCCCATCTTCCTCTACTTTATATGGGACGCCGCCACAGCATGGCCTGATGAGCGGTGCATAGGTCCGTGCTCAGGATCACGAACCTGCGAACCCTTGGCCACCAAAGTGGTGTGCTCGAACTTAACCACTATGCCACCGTGACGGCCCCAATTCAGCTGCCTTACTAGGCAATGTTGACCCCTGACTGGGCCATTGCACCTGGACGGGGGAAACTGGGAATGCATCATAAGTGTCCAGTGGGAAGCCAGAGCCTTGGGGCTTCCTGGAGTGCTCTGCATTCTGTGATTGGGCGTGTCCCTTGCCAGGACCCTAGAAGCGATGCCCATGAGGCTGTATCAAGCGGTACCAGGCTCTCTTTGGGACGTGTGGCTTCTAAGCCAGGCGGCTCCTGAGCCTGTGTGGTGGTGTTCCCTCCCACCTCAGCTGTCATCACGCGAGGGAGCCACGTGGACCCTCACTGAAGACAGAGGCCCGATGCTGCCCTGCCAGGTGCCACTTATTTGGCTGTGAGGCATCTAACCAAGGCCAAGACATAGCACATGGGTGCTGCAAGAGGGGCAGTTTAGCGTGGAGCACCTGGAAGAGGGGCCACATGGCCTCGCTCTGAATCTGGCTCCCACACTTACTTGGGTGCAACCTTAGCTAGGGTCTTATAACACCCTGGCCTCGGCTAAGCCATCTGGGAGATGACTGGGAGATGTGGATAATCATAGGCCCTCCACACTTCACAGGGCCTCGGTGAGGACTAAATGGATCAATACATGTCACATGCTCAGAGTGGCACGACTTAAGAGCTTCTATGAATTTTATTGCATTTCGCTTCCACATCTGTTAAAGGTTTCTTTCCCTCTCTGGTCCTGTCTTCCCTAAATCCTTGCTAAACCCAAGACACGCTTCCCACTTTTTCCTTCTACAAACTCTGTCTTCTCTTAGCATTTCCAATGCCACATTCTCCTGATTTTTCTCTTACTCTGCTTACTTTAAAATAAAACGGTCAGGGGCCAGCCCCGTGGCTCAGCGGTTGAGTGCGCATGCTCTGCTGCTGGTGGCCCAGGTTCAGATCCCGGGCGTGCACCGACGCACCGCTTCTCCAGCCATGCTGAGGCCGCGTCCCACATACAGCAACTAGAAGGATATGCAGCTATGACATACAACTATCTACTGGGGCTTTGGGGGGAAAAATAAATAAATAAATAAAATTATAAAATAAAACGGTCAGCCAGAAGTTCCAAATTCAAAGACTCCCCAGGGAAAGAGGCTTTTTTTTGTGTGTGAGAAAGATCAGCCCTGAACTAACATCTGTTGCCAATCCTCCTCTTTTTGTTGAGGAAGGCTGGCCCTGGGCTAACATCTGTGCCCATCTTCCTCTACTTTATATGGGATGCTGCCACAGCATGACTTGACAAGCGGTGCGTCAGTCTGTGCCCGGGATCTGAACCGGCGAATCCCTGGCCACCGAAATGGAGTGTGCGAACTTAACCGCTACGCCACCAGGCTGGCCCAGAAACATTTTTGAAATAGTTGGAGATCTATGAACACGAGCTGGGCATTAGATGATATTAAAGAATAACTGTTAATGTTGTCAAGTATGAAAATGGCCGGATGGTTATGTTACAAAATGAGCCCTTATCTGTTAGAAATGAGGATTCAAATATTTATGGGAAAATAACATGCATAACAGCTGGGATTTAAATCACTCCAGAAAAAAAGAGAGAAAACAAAGAGATACAGTATGAGGCCAAATGTTGATGATGGTTGAAGCTGAGTGATGGCTAAATGGGAGTTCAGAATAATCATTACTCTGTGGAAGTTTGCAAAATTTACCCCCAAAGAAAAACAAACCTCTAAAAGAATGTCCACAGGGTCCTGGCAGGCCATGTTAGTGTGGGAAGAGGGCCTGGTGGAGACTGGGAACTCACGACTTGTCTAAAACCAGTCGCTACTGGATCCAGATGATTTTTGTCAGGAAATGTGAGCCAAAGGTTGCCAAATTGTGGGATTTTATTTTCAAGAGAAGCTGGAATCCCGGATGTTTACATGGAATTAGTTGCTGGCTGATGCACATTTTCAAAAATAAAGTTCAGGCCAAAGAAAACATGTTTGTTGGTTGAGTCTGGCCCACAGAATGCAAAATTGAGACTTTTGCTTGGGGGTAGGTGGTGGGGGCCAAGGGCTCTGGAATCCAAGGGCTCAGGTTCAAATCTCAGCTTTACCTCTTGTAAACTGTGTTGACTGTGGGCAAATTACTTACCTCTTCAAGCCTCTGTGTGCTTTCACTAAAATATGACAATAATCCCCTCTCACAGCTGTTGTGGGGATTAAATGTGATCATGCTGAGCACAGAGGCTGGCACATAGAAAGCATCTCATAAATACAAGCTATTATTATCACATTATTGCTATTTCAGGATATTCCATCTCTAACCAACCTCCTAGTGTGGGAGATCTCTGTACTTACCTCAGATCCTCTTATCTGAGTCTACACTCTATTTCTAGATAATCTGGTCACTCCCACATTTCAATTATCTTTCTATGTTGGCGAGTCCCAGCTCCCTGTCTCCAGACCTGAAGCTCAGGCCCAAACAGTATTTGGCTCCTGCCACGGCCCAAGGCTGTCCCCAGGTCCCTCACACTCTCACTATGTGATAACCAAGCTCAGCGTCTTTCCCCCGAAATCTGGCTCCTCCTGGGTTCACCATGGGGTGGGGGGGGGAAACAGCCACCCAGTCACAGGCCAGACCCCAATCCTTGCCCTCTAAATGCCCCACAACCTGTCCCTCCTGGACCTCTGTCTCATCCCCTCCTCTCCATCTCCACAGCCTGTGCCAGGCTCAGGCCTCATCTTCCTCCTCTCTCCCTCAAGAGAAGCCCAAGCTTCCCACGCCTGGGGGCTAGAGGCCCCTGTGGGATCACAGAGCCCCATGGCGGAATTTTGAAGGGTCTAGGTAATTACAGAATCTTCGAGGCACCCTACTTATCTACAGGAACCCCAAGATGGCTCTGAGGGAACTTGACGGATCACGGGAGTCCTAGGGAAGTTCTGAAGAACCCCAAGGGATCACGGGATCCTCACGAGGATCTTAAGAGGCCCTGAAGAATCATGGGAGCCCCAAGGGACATTCTGAGAGGCAGTGAGGGATCGCGGGAGCCCCACGGGGGTTCTGAGGGGCTGTAGGTAACTACAGTAAGTTATGGGGTTCTGAGAGTTCCCGAGATCACAGGCGCCCCACAAGTATGGAGGGCGCCCTGAGGAGTCACGGGGGCCTCCACGGAGGTTCCGAAGGTCTCCGGGTTACCGGGGTACCCACCCAGGAATTCTGGGGGGGCCCCGGAGGACCATGAGAGCCACAGGATGTTCTGAGGAAGCACGGGAAATCTAAGGGGGTCCTTGGAAGATCACGGGAGCCCCACAGGAGTTCTGAGTCCCGGGGGATCACGGGAGGTTCTGAGGGGGCCCTGAGGAATCACAGGAGCCCCTCGGGGGCTTCTGAGGAAGTGGGGAGGCAGCACCGTGAGTGCTGCACCGCAGAGCACAACAGCTCCCAGGGATCAAGGAACAGACGAAAGGGCTGAGACGGCAACCGCAAGGGCTCATGGGAACGTCCTCCAGGGGTGGGGCTAAGGCGCGGCGGGAATCACGGGAACCGAGAGGGGCGGAGTCGCTGAGCTGCCGCGGAGGATCACGGAAGTCGGCGCGCAAAGCAAGGCCCGGAGAACTGGGGCGGGGAGGGGGATACCGCGGAGGAAAAGGCAGCGCCGGCCTGGCAGGCCCTCACCAGTGCGCATGCGTGGCTCTCGGGCACGGGTCCGTACTCCAGCGTGGAGAAGATCTCTCGGGCGCGGGGCGCTGCTCGCGTCGCAGCCATCACCCCGCCTGAGCCGCTTTCCACGAAGGACTGCGGGGCGCTCTGCCAAAGGGGAACCTTGGGGTCCGAAGTCGGCACCACCCACTCCAGCCCAAAGGGCGGGGCTGGGGGGGGATAGAGCGTAACCCCGCCTTAGGACCCGGTGACCCCGCCTTTAGGCCTGCGGTGGGAAATATAGTTTGGAGCATGCGCAGTCCTCAAAGGGGGGGGGGGGGGGGAAGGAAAATGTGGGTGCCTGTGCAAATAGTTAGGAGGGCTCCAGATTTAGAAGGGTGGCCGTATTGGTGTGTCTTCTCGCCACCCTGTCCATATATTGGAGACAGGAAGTGCAGCTTTCAGTCCGAAATACATTTACTAGAGAATCAAATCTGGCTCTGGGACGAAGTGATAGTTTAGAGATCAGAAGGGAGGATGGACATCGAAATTAAGGTTTTGAAAGTGCGCCAGGCTTGACTGGCCCGTTACCTAGACAGATGTGGTTGTCGGGAGAAGTGTGGCTTTAAGCGATACAGGAAGTGTGGCATTTAGGGGTCAGACTCAGGATTTAGTTTTGATTGGTTGAGGTGAGAGGCGCGGCTTCAGACTTAGACTGTGATAGGTCGGTAACGCGAATGCGGTCGCAGGATTGAGGAATGAGCGTCGGGGTAGCCGGAAGGGTGGCCTACTCGAGTCCCCGGTTACACAGAAGCCGGAAGTGTGGCTGTTATTAACACATGGGGCGCGTAGAACCTACGGAGCATCTAGAGATATTGGATCCCAGCAGATTTGACGACGGTGTCTGGTCTGAGTGGACTTGTAGTCTCAGGCCAGATTCTTAGATTTTCGTACAGAATAGTGGGTGTCAGGAGTCAGTTGAGGGCCCGGCAGCAGGCTCCAGAGTTCGGCGAAGGTGCCCCACGTCGGGGTTACTGAGGACGCCTAGGTCTCTTCCCCAGGGCCATGGCGGACTCGAGGCTGCTGGTGCCGGAGCTAAAGGAGGCAGAGACTATGGGCGCTGAGGCGGCGCGTTTCGAGGAGCTGCTGCTGCAGGTGCGGACTGACCAGCTCCTGGGTCACTGGGTATTCGGGGGATGTTTTTTCTTGGTGCTCAGAGATGGGACTACAATTCCCAGAATGCACTAGGGCAACAACAGTGCCTACATGGAATTGTAGGTGCTCAACTCCAGATTGCTAGATTCTGGAAGAAATGGAAGTGGGATTGGGGTTGTTCTTCCGGGTTCTCAAAGGAGGAAAAGGACATAGTATGTCTTATTCCCCGCACAGCTTATATACATAAAAATTTCTCAGTAAACATTTGAAGAACAAGGAAGGGGTCTGATAACTCAGACGCCAAGCCTGGAGGTTGTTTTCCTTCACACAGGCATCCAAGGAGCTCCAGCAAGCCCAGACAAGCAGACCAGAATCAACACAGATCCAGCCTCAGCCTGGTGAGAAAGGCAGAAACCCAAAGAGAGGGATAGAGTCCCAGAGAGAGGTGGATAGAGACTGGGGGCAGGGGACACAGAGAGGAGGAAGCAAAGAGACACAATAATGGGGTAGAGAGGCTGGGGGCAGGGGCGGGGGGGCCGGTGAACAGAGACCCAGAGAGAGCAGGGAAGGGACCAAGATCCAAAGAGAGGACGGGGAGGACAGGAGTGACCAGGGGGACAGAGACTCAGAGATAGAGAGTCAGAGATCCCAGGGGTGGGAAAGGGAACAGACTGGAAAGTGCAGGACCAAGACTCAAAGGGGAGGACAGATCAAAAGATGGACGGAAACTGAGACCCATGCAGAGACAGATGGTCAGGACAAACCCATTCCCACCAGGTTTCTGCGTGAAGACCAACTCTTCGGAAGGGAAGGTTTTCATCAACATCTGTCACTCTCCCTGCATCCCTCCTCCGGCTGACGTGACCGAGGATGAGCTGCTTCAGATGCTGGAGGAGGACCAAGCCGGGTTTCGCATCCCCATGAGTCTGGGAGAGCCTCATGCTGAACTGGATGCAAGTCAGTGCCCTCGGAGGACCCAGGAATCCAGCCCCCTGGGTCCTTTCTTCCCGGGGATCCAAGAATCCAGGGCCCGAGACCCTCCTCCCTCAGGACCTAGAAATCTGGCCCCTCTGATCTGATCCTCTTCCCCGTGGCATATCCCTAGCCTCCTGGACATCCAGCACCCGCTGCATGCGGCAGTTCTGGTTCTGCCCACCTGGCCAGGCTGGCAATTCTCCCTGCCCCACCCCAGGGCGAGGGAGGGCTGGGCAGGTGTGCTCATTAGCAGATCTCCTGGCTCTAGTCCGGGACCAGCTCTCGCTCTCATCCCTGTTTTCTCCTCCGCCCTCCTTCCCTGTTTCTATCTCTCTGCCTTGTCTCACCCCTGTCTCTGTTGCGTTTTTGTGTCTATATCTGTGTTTTTTCAATTCACATATGTCCCCTGAAGCCTCCTGGGACCAAGCTTTGGGCACTGCCCTGGGGAGTAGGGACTTATCAAACCCAGAACCTGTCCTTGAGAAAATTCCAGTCTTGGGTGAGGGCGAAGGAGACAGATATGATTTCAATGTGGTGCGATTTGTGCTGCGCTGGAGGGGGCTCCTCACCCCACCCAGCGGTCAGGGAAGGCTTCCTGGAGGAGGAGATGTCGGATATAAGATTTGAAGGAACCTGAGAAGTTCTTTAGGCCAAGACAGAGAAGAGGGTTCTAGGCAGAGGGGACAGAGGGGTCCAGAGGCCAGAGAGAATGATTGAATTGGATTGGTCAGTAATCCAGAGTGTTTGGAAGAAGTCTGAAGGGACAAGGTCGCTAGAGGAGAATTGAGCTTCTCTCCAGGTGGGAGGGGCAGACCACACAGGGAATCCAGCCTAGGCCGAAGGGCTCAGACCTTAGCCTGGGGGCACTGGGGAGCCATGGGAGGGCTATGAGTGAGGGAGGGGCGGGGTCAGCTTTGGGACATGGTGGGGAAGGATCCGAGGGGTAGAGGCTGGAGCTGGAGAGGAGGCTGGTATGAGTCCAGCCTGGCAAGTGCGTATCTCGAGTCTTCACTTCCTGATAGTCTCTGGGTCTCTCTGGTTTCTGTGGCTGCTGTCCTCCATTGTTTTCTCCTTGTCTGTGTCTGAGCGGTGGTGTTCTCACGGAGGCCTGGGGGTCTCACCCCCTTTCTCTCCCCGCAGAAGGCCAGGGTTGTACCGCCTACGACGTAGCTGTCAACAGCGACTTCTACCGGAGGATGCAGGTGGGGGGCGGGGCTGCGGCGAGGCCTGGGCGGGGGCCTCTTCCTCCGCCCCCAGCCCTCCCGCATCTCATCCGCTTCTCTCTCCTAGAACAGCGATTTCTTGCGAGAGCTCGTGGTCACCATCGCCAGGGAGGGCCTTGAGGACAAATACGGCCTGCAGCTGAATCCAGGTGGGGGGCGGGGCCTGGGCCGCCGGGGAGGAGCCGAGCCGGGAGCAGCTGGGGGCAGCCCTTGGGAGAGGCGGGCTAGTGTGGGCAAGGGTTTTCTTAGCCCCCTAGGCTGCGGATTGCAGGGAGAGGGCGAGGCTTCCCTAGTGAGCCTGGCTCGGGGGACCGGCCGGGGATTCCAGATAAGGGGCGGAGTCTGGAGAGCCTGGGAGGGGCGGAGCCAGCAGCATCTCCAGGAGGCAGATCGTATTGGCCAATAACCCTGGAGGGGCGGGGCTAAGGCGGGCGGGCTTCCTAAAGCCAAGCTTGGGGGTGTGGTCAGATCGCTGGCATCCTCGGAGGGGCGGAGTCTCTCCCACGAGGCTCTGGCTGTGCAATGCCTCCTAAAGGAGCAATGGGAATCTTGACCCCTGTGACCTTTGACCCTGCGCTCCCTCCCCGCAGAGTGGCGCATGTTGAAGAACCGGGCTTTCCTCGGCTCCATCTCCCAGCAAAATATCCGGTCCCAACAGCGTCCTCGGATCCAGGAGCTGGGGGACGTGTACACACCCGACTCCCTCAGACCTGAGGAAGGGTGGGCCTTCGATGGGTCCCCTCTCTCGTGTTTCCTCAAGGCTCTTTGGAATCCCTCCCTCTCCATAGGGGGTGGTGTCCTGGGGCTCTGGGAACTCAGAGAGGGGAGAAGCAGAACTCCCACTGGGAAGGCTTCCTGAGGCAGCAGAGCTGGTAGGAGGGAGACGGGGAGGGAACAGCATGCCAGGCACAGGGAACAGCCTCAGCAAAGACCTGGCGGCTCTTCTCAATTCTGGGTCTTCTTCTTCCCCAGCCCTGAGAAGCCTCACCTGAACCTTTGGCTGGAAGCCCCTGACCTCCTCTTGGTGGAAATTGACCTCCCCAAACTGGTCAGTGCACGCTGGAGCAGAGCGGGAGAATGAGGTCTGGAAGAGTCAGGGTCTCCAAGGGGGAGTTATCTGGGCTTGTTGCTGGACCTGTGTGAGCCTGGTTAGTGCTACCCTCTGAGCACGGCTGCCTTCTCTGTCCCAGGGGCCCTCAGGCTCACTTCTGGTGCTGTTCTGAGGATGCCCAGGGGATTGTAAGTGCTCAGTCGTGGAGAGCTCAGTCTCCCACCTTTTCCCTGGGAGATTAGCCCCTTTAAATATGATATCCTGACACACGAGGCTTCTCTCCCTGGCCCCTATTATTATCGTCCTGTTGCTGGGAAGGGAAGAGTGGACTGATTTCACCAAATCCCCAGGATGGAGCTCTGGGACTGTCGCTGGAGATTGGGGAGAACCGCCTGGTGATGGGGGGCCCCCAGCCGCTGTACCGTCTGGATGCCTACATCCCCCTGCGGATCAACTCTGACGAGAGCAAGGCGGCCTTCCATCGGAAGAGAAGGGTACCTGGGGTGGTGGGGGAGAGGGGGTGGCGCAGGGAAGCGAAGACACTGGGGGGCCTGCACTCCTGGGTCTGAGGCAGGAGGGGCTGGGGGCTCGACTCCTGGGTCCTGAATGATCCTCCTCTTTCCTGTCTCTCCTCAGCAATTGATGGTGGCGATGCCCCTTCTGTCGGTGCCGTCTTGACCGGGTATCTCCCTATGCTTCCAAGTGGGGAGAAGAGGCTGGTAGCTTCTTTAAAATTGAAATAAAAGATTTTTGCCTTCGTTCTGTCTCTGGCTGGGAGTACATGGGGAGAGGGAGGGAAGAGGGACGTTGGACAATAGCCCTG